TTTAATTTTTGGGAAGTTAAATAAATCTTGTTTTTTTTTATTCGACTGTTATGTCATTAAATTAAACTTTCTAATACACTTATTGAAAGCTTATTGTTTGTAAAACTAAGAACAAAGTAATAAATATAGTTACTTTCTAACAGAACTTTCTAAGTTGTTCCTTTACATTTATTCTACAGGTGCGAGTTTTGCGGAAGCTTTGGGCATGTGTACGATTACTCAACCATCTAAAAAGCGCATCATCAATTCTCCTAATACAAGTACAGCAAAAGTGATCAAAACAGAACAACCGACTACTACCAATAACAAAAATGTAGCAGTGAAGAGTGAACAAAGCGACGATTTGCAGGTAATTAATATTATTAGTAAAGTGGCAGGACTGTTGAAAGGCGTTCCTATAAATAATACTCGTCATCATTTTTCAGACGCCATCGTTATTATCGTCAAACGTAAAGTTACAACCGTTAAACGTAGACTTGGCATCCACGCTTCCAGAAATTAGTCCCAATTATAAACCACTGCCATACGTTAATCAGAAGGAAGATAAATATCGCAAAGAGGAAGACAGATCCCTCACGGATGTCATGTACGTTAAAAATCAAAGGTAAGTGTATTCTACTAAAGTCCTCTTACAGCAATACGTGTACGAATAAACGTAATAGTAATTTCTAATAATTATCTCCATTTCACAGAACGAAAGTGTATTCCGGAAACAAATCCGGTTACACGACTGTACCGACTTTATTCGAGATCTGTACGAGAGTGTTAATAGAAAACATTGATGGTAAGTTTAATTGACCAGTAGAAAATAATGAACGCTTCAAATGAAAAATAAATGATTGTTTAACAACGTTTCGTATCCACTTTAGCACTTGAATTCACGGGTGGTGTGCCTTATGACATAATAAAACCCGTCTTGGAACGTGCAACAGCGGATCAGTTATTTATGTTGGAGCATTACAATCCTTATTTGATCGAAGACACAGACGAGCTCTGGCAATATCACTGCAATCGGGAATTCCGGAATAAGCAAAGGGAAGAAATGGAAACGTGGCGCGAAATGTACATGGTAAGTAGATCTGCGAGAGGAGTTAATTGACATCGTTTATTTAACATCATTTTTATATTCTGTGTTATTCTGTTGTAACAGAGATGCCTGGACGAGAGGGAAGCAAAACTGAAGACGCTGACTGCTAACATAAAGCAGTCGATAGACAAATCTCTTCCAGTGAGGTCTACCAAACTCGCATACGTTGACAACGTCGTTAAACCACCAAGAAATATTCTTAAGAAGCAAGCTAAATACGGTACCGCAAATTCTGTGCCGCACACAGCATCTAGTTTAAAAAAGAAATTGATCAGCGGCGGTGGACCCACGGCTGCTACGAATATTTCCGTTCCGGCACCCGTACAGATATCCCGCGCGAAACCAAGTAAGTAATTGGTCTTACTTTCGATGAGAACAACATCTGAAGATTAATCACCTAACAATATTATGTTATTTTTTTTACAGTGAAGAAGACGAAGGCGCCGCTGATGGCGAAAGCTCTACAGCTCATAAAAGGACGATATAAGCGGTAGTTCATCTAAGGTCTCTCAGTCTTCAACAATCTAGGTAACTCATGTATTATTATATAGCGGGTCTTAGTTGTACTATGTATAAATTTTATATATAAAAATTTACATTTCGGATTATGTTGTGTGGTATGACTTGCGCACGTCGTCCTTGGCAATCTGGGATTCGCCAAATCGATAATGCCATGATCGTTTCGTGCATTCTCGTCTACTGCGAATTAGACTTAGTTACAAAAATTCTTTTAGTAGGACACAAATGCCTAGGGTTTCACGATGACCGAGAAAATTAAAGACATTAGAGGTTTTTTTCGCGTAAATATTTTCATACTAAATTCACGAACAGAGATTATTCGAATACGAAATATGTAGAAAATGAAAACGAAATATTTGACAAAATTATGTAGACATTTTACTCACGAGATTTGCTTTCTGTTTACACGAGCTCTTATTTACGTTCCCTAAACCGACGTAATTACGGCATTTAGTATAAAAGAAATATTCACACAGGAATGCAGAACTGTGTACGTAATGAATATGACCCATTTTTTGCTGTGATTCACTAATTTTTTTAGATTACAATTGTACATACTTAATTTAACATTTTTTGCACGACTTAGAATTATATACACTTCGTTCAATGTTGAAAAGAAAATTCAATAATGTATGATCAATGACGAACTAAATTTCAATATTGTACATTGATATTTTTATATATATACCTTGATTTGAACGACTAAAACTAACGCGATTGAGGATTCTACAAAAATTCTTGTTACTTCGTTTGATGAGGCATGCGTTCATACAGAATTGTATTTGTTGCGATCATATTTAGTACGAATTATACATATGTATACCATTTATAGGTTTTCTAATTACATAATAATAATTGCATATTATTTATACGATTCATATTAAATTCCGATTATAGATCTTTTTAAGGGGCAGATTCCGGACCAATAAAATTACGATTACAGGAATACTTTTTGGTATTTATGTAATATTTTTGTGCCTTCAAGTACATCATTGAAAAGAAAAAAGGGAAATCTTTAGTTAACTAACATCGAAGGCATAACTTCGACTTACGATTTATTTTTATTTTACTAAAGATCAGCACATTTTGACACCGTGACCAGAAGCCAGATTTTAATTTCTTCTTTTCGAAGAAGTAATGTTATATGTTGCATTGCTTTCGCCAGGATCATCGGTGAAACAGTAAAAAATGTGACTTTACTCGAATCTCGAAAAGTCACGATTACTCCGGCTCTAGTCCCTTAAATTGACCAGGTAGTGGATTTTATTAAATTTTGGTGTGCATGTGACGAAATTCATGAGTATTGTTTTCTAATCTGAAATAATGCAAAAAATTTTGTGACGAATGAGTTCTTCCTCTATTAAATTACGACTTTGCTAAGAACAAATTGAAAGACTTCGTCGAATGTGCTTGCCACTTTTCAAACATATATCGAACACGTAGGCAATGCTCTCGTTGTGACTGGGTAGAAGTTTTAAGCAAATGAATCAATAGTCTGGCCGACTTTTTGATTTTTATATTATATACAATTGCTTTAATCCTTTTTAAACCTATGTTGTCTGTGAAATGAATTGTTCATCACTGATATATTTTTATTCATATAACGTCGTATATTTAATACACCAGGATTAAGGTAATATATTTATGATTTATTTATGAGTAAATAGTTCGATTTCTTGTAAAATTTTGATAGGAAATGTATTTTTAAGTATCAATCGACAGGTTTATCAATTTTCGGATACCGTAAATCCATAATCTAAAACCAGTAAATTGTAAGTTAAATAAACAGTAATATATTTACATTATAAGTAGCATGTAACATACTTTTTAAGTTAGCGTACTTAAATGATATCAGTGAACTATTTGGTAGACATTTTTAAACGTTTAATTGTATATTTTTTTCGTGGTACAGTTTTAAAACCTTCTGTAATAGAATTGATTGTAATATAATTTTTACAATTAGAGAATCTGGTTTGATCGAAATGAATTCAATAAAATTATCATAAAATAAATTCTTATTTATTGAAGTAAATTTCCATAACGCCGCATCAGGCGATTGTAATATTAATCAAATATTACAAGGGGGCATGAATAAATAATATTCCATTCGAGTGGCTTAAACATTTTTTCGCAGGCCGGGCTACGAGAATATCAAACACGGATCGTAATAATTACATTATCCGTTCCACTGGAAAATCACGTGAGCGATCATTAAGTACATGGTTATCGTCATGGTACTTGTCAGCATAATTGGAAAGCCCACTCTGAAAACGTACGCATTCACCATTATTTGTCAAATTGATTAAATTATCATAACGCGAAGAATGAATTAGCGACGGAGCTCTTGTGAAAATGAACTTAATTCATTCGCTATTTATTATTCGGTACGAATTCGAAATTTCATTCGGAAAATAATATGTCGCGCCTGATATAACAACGGGCCGGTTAGTAGTTATTTCATCGAGTTTAATTATTTACAGCTGCCGCTCGTAAATAAAAGCCAATAGAATATAAGATAAAATTTAATGTAAATCGTATTAATGTACGAACGTACATTTAAAAGGGAAATTAAATTTCATTTAACGATAATCATATACAACGAATATCGAAATGAGCTGTCCGACGCCTCGTATTAAATGAGGAGGCAAATACTCATAGCAGATTTTACTTACTTGAAAAATTCCATAAAAGTGAATTTGTATCCATGTTGCTCGGCAACTCCTACGCAGACTACGTTAGCGGTAGCTCCAATCAGAGTTCCATTTCCTGCAAATATACCCATCCATTCAACTACATAAATCATAACGGTATCGATTCCTATTGATCGTACATTCTTCTGACGACACGATCGACGATTTTGGGTGATTCGACGTAATTATTTTTACAATGTAAAAAAGATGTCCGGCGTGAAAATTCTTACCTCCCATGCAGGCGCCGAAGGCTAACGCCCATACCAAAGGCTGCAGGGGTAATTTGAGCTCGCGATTTTGCGCCAGACCAGTGACGATCCTTATCATCATCGTCGACAGTGGCACGTTGTCGACGAATGCGCTCGCAACCGCCGATACCCAAAGCAGCAATAAAATAGCTACTGCCAATCGGGACTCCTCGTTCACGGATAGAATAATCATCTCCGTTTGTTTCCCTATCCAAGCCATTAAACCTAAACGCGACAAAGCCTGCACACAAGACATAAACGCTCGTACTGTTAATTGAAAGCAATGGTACAATGATTTGTGAGAATTTGGTGACTTGTACCTCCATGAGAATGAACAACGACGCGAAGAATAATAAAGTGCTCCATTCCACGCGTGCCATGAGGCCATCCAGATCTTCGCTGTCCGCTAAAATTAATAATAAAAGAACACCGATCAACGCGGTCCACCCTAGCGACAAATTTAGATTCGGGATGCTGTGTAAAAAGAACAATGTGATAACGAAGATCAACGTGAACCCAGACTTCACTAGCAACCATTTGTCCCGAATAGGATACTGTAACAAAATTAGTAAAATCCTCCTTCAGTACAATACTCTCCTAATTATTTGACGTTTATTCACCTTTTCTTGCAGTTCTTCGAGCGTGGTCTTGTACGTTTCAAGCGCCACGCTGCCGGTCAATAGCTTCTTCTTCAACTGGGAAAGTAGTCGTTGTACCTTTTTTAACAACGTTTCTCGGACCACGTTTTCATCCTTACTGTAACTCGACAAACTAGCTGCGGCTCTTTGCCAGATAGCAATTTCATGCCTCAGTTCCTGAAGAGAAGAAGCGATGAAACTGATACAAGTTTAATCGAAGTATAACGTAAAGGAAATGGAAATAGGATACCTGTACATCTTGTGGTTCGGCGAATTTCAGACCAGCCATATCGCGGAAGATGAATCGCAGCTGCGCGAACACTACGAACACTACAAGTATTACACCGATGCTCATATGTATCGTGAACGTACTAAAATCGATGCCCTAAACGGTAAATCAATATGTTAATATATGATAGGGATACGAATAAAGCATGTGTAGAAGAGAACGGTCCAGTATTTACACTATTAATAACATCGCGGTTCGATGCGATGATCACGTTCGGTGGATCGCCTATCGGCGTGAGGGTGCCACCGATGTTAGAATAAACGACCATCGCCGTTAGTATCGGTACAGGATTTATTTCCATCACCTCGCACAATCTTATCGTTACCGGTGTCATCAGCAACACCGTCGTGACGTTATCCAAGAAAGAAGAAATGAATGTCGTAAAGAAGCAGAGTGTTCCTACGAGTGGCCATATCTTTCCCCCAGTGATCTGAAAAAGTGCAAACATTTAATATTAGACATATTTGAATTTTGATTAAGGAATTATTACCTTGTAAGCGTATACTGCTAGCCAGTCGAATATCCCTGTCTCGGCGACCACGGCAACGAGTATCATCATCGAGAACAATAACATTAATGTGTCGATATCTATCCACGATATCAATTCACCCATACTTGGTCTCTGAACAAAAAACTTATGTTACTGAGAAACTCATATTTCCTTTCCTGTTCGCATCACAATTTCTGATTACTGCTTTTTTTCAACTCGGTGAGATTTTACTATATGTGATTTTATCGTATTGTTAAATTACCTCGTGTAAAGCAGCTAATATTGCAATGGACATAGTCGAGGCTAACATAGCAGCTAAAGTCCTATGGACGACCTGAAATTATTGATTAATTTATATCGTGTATAAATTATAATACTTTCGAAGGATCAGTTACCTCGAATATTATTAATAAATATAATCCGAGTAAAACTACGGCAGCGTACGCTATACCATCGGCCTTGTCTATAGATGATAAATCGTAACTGATAGAAACAGCGAAACTGGACTCTAGATTAGTTTTTAAGTTAATCGATATTTCGCCTTCTTCTATCGTTCTGCAAAATGGATAATAATCATATTAGAAGATCGTAGGATCCGTGAAATGAATAATTCTGTAATTACTCGTACGTTTTGTTAATATTTGACAATGGGAAAACTTTCTGATGCCTCTGTCCAGGGAAAATGTCCATCAGGTTCTCCGGAAGTATTGGTAAAATCCATACATCGCTCATATTCTGCATATGAAGTATCGAACGTTCAACTGTTACCTTGAAAATCAAATTCTCTCACGTTAAATGTTTTACCTTCATTTCGCCGGGCTCGAACAAAAACTGATTGGTATTATTTGTTTCGTTAACTATTAGTTCCAACCATATCATCAAATAGCTCTCGGACACATTTGCATAATCTGTTAATGATTTTACTGGCGGAAGTAACGAACCCTCCAGCGTTATACTAACTTGCCTACTACGAACATCACCGTACAATTTATAATCTAGAAGAAATCTCGAGTCATTGATTTGCAAATACTATACGTATTAAAAGTTGACAAAAGAGTGATACTTTTTATTTGTCCCTTGGGAATTGAGATTTGATGCATCGACTCGACCCTTTCATTGTTCAGCATCAGCACTAACTATAATAGAAAAACAAATATCCAGTTATTGTCCCTTTTAGTCAAGTACAGAAAAATAAACTTACAGTGAAAGTTAGCCAGCAGCAACACAATATAATTAATTTGGTATAACGATAAAGCGCGCTCTGTTTCGTTTCGGAAGTTTCCGTAATATCTTCATCGCATAATTTATTTTCGATTCTAAAATGACATCAAATGAAATTTATATCCAATGAACGAAATAATAGTTAATTATGACGTACCGTGGATATGGCTGTGTCTCAAGGGACATGTTTACTACCAGGCAGTCTTTCTTCATTCCATCTGTAGACCTGTGAAGTGAATTAATAAATGTTACAAGTGAATGTGAGAGGAACGTGTTAAATGCAAAAGGTACCAACATTCCTTCTCCAGAATGGACACGATCATATTCCCTTCGAAAGACTGCCAAGCTGGGATCCAAACGTATCGCTTCTGGTAGTTGACTCCAAACGCGAAGTACTTCTTCCGGGATTTGCCCAAATATTACGGAGCTAGCGATGGACGATGGGGTTGCTATTGTTAAAAAGTTAATGTCACCGTGATACATGTTCTAACGGTAAAAGTTGAATTACAAATACAGTTATAAAACTTAAAACTGTGTATGCGATATATGATAAATGAAACATACAATTGTCTGTACAAATTAATAATTATAATATTGTAATTCTATTATATGTTTTACGTACCTGGTGTCCGAAGGCTGCACCGAGATCCTTTTCTGAAAGAGAGTGGCGTTCGTAATCCAATTTCATCTTCGCTACTATCAGTTCGAGACATCGTGGATCAGCTGTATTGCGAATTAAGAGCCCTGATCATTAAATGCTAACAGTAACAGACAGTGGACGATTTATGGAGAGATTCAAATTAGAAATGGTGAATCATTATTTTGAATTTACACATTTCGTAACCATCTTATCATACTTCTTTCACGTTTACTGCAGACTAAAGAAAGACTGTTTATCATAAATATTTCAGTGTACACTTTTTAATTATTTTCTAATCAAAGAACAGCTAATTTCAATTTTAACTGTAGAGTAAAAATAATTTTCTTAAATTTTCAAGATTTACTTACAGTAAGGATCTGAGGAATACAGATTTCGATTTATTCAGTCTTCGGTCACGCAATTAGAACATGATCGAGGAACTTTCATGAAATGTGATCCACTTTAATTGGAATTTAATCTACTTGAATGTGAACGAGAAGAGCGAAAATATGGAACTACGATTCGATAGCTGATTCGTGTTCTTATTAGGGGTCATTCCAACGTTTATGTATTTACACGTGTGTATATACTGAGACACATGTATACGCGGATGTTATTTAATACTGTCATACAAAGGTTGTTTTTCCATTTTCAAACGTGAAATCACATGAAATTTTCAAAATTTTACAGATCATAAACCGTATTAAGTGATCGGTTTATCTTGTTGATTGAACCGAGTAAAACAGAGTTCAGTGTCTTAATCGTAAGCGATTCTTAAAAACGAGATAAGAACAGCAACGTTAAGAATTATTCCTAAGTACTGTAAAATACATATTCTCAGGGACACTGGCGAACCACTCTTTACAGTCGTTTCCTTAAGATTCACGCTACTAAAAACACAAGAAAATTCATTGCCCTGTTTATATCATATTTAAGAATTTTGCTAAGAATCTGGCATAAAAATTTCATTACCCGATCCTGGACATTTCGTAAAAATTAAGAGACTGTGGCCTGATTCGTAGCAGAATCGCGTAAGCCGTGTGTTCACCCGCTTGAATCGCACCGTCTATCGTTCCTGGCCAATTACCAGCGTACTCACTCGAGGCAAATAATATCCTTGCAAAGTAGCACGAAATAAAAGTAGTGCATAAAACGAATCGGTAGCAATCCTCTTTGTAACATCACTTAAAGAAGATCGTCGTACCTTTCGTGAGATTTACCCGTGCATTTGACATGATTGTCAATGCTCGTCGGTTTCATAGTGCTCATAGGACAACCCGCCTTTATCTGATCACCGATCAAGGAGGGATCGTATTCTTTGTACGCCGAATATTTGAGAACCTCAGGAGTCTCGTAGCAATCCGTCAACGTATCGAACAACCCCTTTTTGTGTGTCTGCGTGAGATTAGCTTCGGCCAGAAATCCAGCGAACATGAGTTCTTCCATAGACCGATGGTTCGCATCGTACATGATATTCAAATTGCTATTAGAGTCCCACGTGGTCAATATATCTTTCGCGGAATCGCCGAGCGATCGTTTGTAATTGACGTTAAAGAACACATTCTCAGCTGGTGCGAAGAGCGGTTCGCTGTTCGTTAAACATTGAAAGGGAGGTTCGATGGTGATATGATTTTGCAAGGAAGGAGGTATCGCTACGACTACGAATTCGCATCTGTAAATGATTCGTTAGGTCTTGTTTTAATCACTGAGGATAGGATACGTCGTTAAGAACGGGGTACCTAAAACTCTTCTTGCTCGTCGACACATAGGCTCGCTGATCGTTAAATACGATTTTATTAACTGGGTCTACATATCTTATTTCTCCCTGCTGTCTTAAAACGTGTCTCAACAGTTCATGCGTAATCCTAGTCATACCACCCTGCCAGATATACATCGATATTAATCAATTCATCTAAACGGTCTTGACACATTGCTGACCGGTCACGAGTTAACTCGGGTTTTCGTGGCTAAGCGTTGGTGACCGATCACGAGTAAACTCGTGATAAGCTTTTTTCCACATCTTTATTGTTTTCACGGCGCACTGTTGGAAATATTGTAGTGTAATTATTTGGTCTGTATACCTCAAGTTGTGTCTCGCCTATAAGACCGGCCAAGTTTCGTTCTTAGTTGTAAAAAAAATTTCAACGATGTCCAAATTCTTCAAAAGGAAAACGGAGCGAAACCGAAATATTAGGAGTTGAATAATATATGTAATTTATTAAAATTTATTTATATTGTTTTACTTCCACATCCGCTTTCAAAACAATAGCCGGGCACATGAGGTAAATTTTCAGAAAAGTTGCCGGTCAGCAATGTGTTAATACACGTATTATTCTATCGCGTACATACATTTAGGAAGTATCGATCGTCATCGCCTGTCATGATTTTTAATCGGTTTAAAAGACCGGATGCATTGTGCAGCATGACGAAGAACCAGAGCGTCGAAACGTCGTTAAGATTTCGCGTAGCTGCAAAGATTTGCAATTACATTTTCTGAGTACTTCGGAGGTCAATGCAGATCATTTACTTTAAGAGAATTTAACGTACCGCATACGTTGCAAATAAACGCCCGGCACAAGGATCGTACATAGGGGATATAAATGATTCTACGCAGGAACTGTTCGACGCTTATCTCGGCAAGGTGCTCCGCTTCCTCGTGGTGAGTGTAGTAACTGAATCTCGGATTCGAGGCAATTCTTTCGATCTGCAACAGCGAAATGTAACGAACATTCTGCATATATACTAACAAATTCTTTTGTTCATACATTTTATTAATTAATTATATTAGCAAATCAGGCATTTATAAAATGGCAATGACCGTTTGAAGGGAATTGTGAACCTCGGCTCCGTAGAATTTAGGAAAGGTGCGCATCGGTTTACCCTTCGTGTAAAGTATTCTCGTTTTCGATTCATTATACTTTCCTTCTTCGATTTTTATACCTAACATCTTCACTAAGTCGGTCACGTGCCTCTGCATAGAATTAGCATGATAAGCATTGCTGAAGTTGTTCGATAGAACACGACCTCCCGCTTCACCTGACGTCATACATAGATAAAATTGTTTTCTGCATCAGTTTAATTCCGTATAATTTGTGTCATGAAATCGACGTAGAACTTGTGGAATTACTGTTTGCCTCGATGATCAGGACATGCAAGCCAATTTGTTTCTTCAGAATATTATATGCACACGCGAGGCCAGCCAAGCCCGCTCCTACGATGATGACGTCGTAGTCGTTCTCGTCCTCCCGAAAAAAATCATCGTCGTCAAAATCCGCTGCCATAAGTCTTATACTGCAAATCGCCGTTCATTCTCCAATATTTATTCTCTACTTCGTGACGCGATAAAAACTGCCAGGAAGTTAGCTCTTTATGAAATGTATCGAAGTACGATAAATAACGTGACGTCGATTGGAGCGTCAGCATCGGATTTCTCTGTGTCCGTTGTCTTGACAGTTTCATCGAAAGTTGGGAAGACGGCGCCAACTTTCGCGGACGTACGTGTGAATTCCGATACGCAACGGGTCAAAAGTAACGGTGGCCGTCGCCTCGAAGCCAGTCAGTCCCTTGATAATTCAAGCAACTTTTAACTGCAACCTTTATAACTCCCGCGATAGCCACCACCTTCGCCGCCCCCTCGCGCTCCTTCCGGATCGTCCTGGACCGTTACTTTCTTCCGCCCCCTTTACGACTGGTCTACTCTCTCTTTAGGAGCTGTACGTCTTAAATAATTGATCCTAACGTAGTTGCCGGTGTTTTTATAACTGTTTTACCGCCCGCTGTTGCCGCCGTGATATACATTATTTAGCCGCCGGTTTTTAAACTTAAGTCTCCCGGCATGGAGGTGTGAAAACACCGAACAACTATCGGAGATCCGCCTACACCGCTTTGATAAACGTTCACGATCTTTCCCTGACGATTCACCAGTCGTACACAGCGCAGCTCAGCTTCTTTTCAATGACCGAGCAATTAGGTCTCGTCGAAGGGGAAGTCGCGTCAGGGTGGAGTTTCAAAACTTCTGGCTAATGTCTGTTTAGCGTTCTTGCGTGTTTTACGTTCGTTCTTAAAGGAAACTTTTGTAAGATATTTTAGAAAGTCCCTGCCGACAGAATTATTCATAATTTTGAACAATGTATCTATGAGATTCACGAAAAATCGAGGTAGCCGTAGGGGATGCACCGTGGGGATGCAGTTATTCGGCCGCCACTTCCGGGGAAGAATGAACTTCCCGAATGCCGAACGCAGTATCGTTCTCTTCTACAGAAAGCACTTTGACAGAGCCCCACGGGTACATTACCAGGATTGCCGCCACCAATTGAACTTCCCCCGTCACGCCGCGTTGAAGCAGCCACGGGCGAAGCACGGGACTGCCTTATGTCTGCAAACAGAGCGGCCCGGGGCGACGCTCCTCCGCCGCCGTCGCCGCCGCGGCGGCGTTCAAACAGCCGATCGCTCGATTCAGAACGATCAACCAACTTGCAGATTCTCCATTGTTAACGGTATTTGACTTAGCCGCGTGTTGCCCCGCGCGCTGATCTGCATAATAGCCATTAAACCCGGAAGGATTCTAACTTCCATTGCTCCGCCTTCCCTGACTTCGGGATAACTTTCTCAGCCCTGCCTGATTAAGTCTCCCGCGCGTGAAACTTTGGCCCGTTCTTACTTACTTCAAAGAAACTGATTAATCATTCTGATACGGAACTTGGACAAAACCGCTCGCTGAATTGAACGTACTCGTTTGTAACGACGCATTATCGAGCATTAGAAATGAAATTAGTGATCATCGGAAGCATCAGGATTTCGTTTGAACGCTCGGTCGTACGTTGGAACGCGTCGAGGAAGACGAGACCTGGAAAAGCGTAAAATGGATCGAGGCCGAGGTCACGTGACGTCACGGTTTCTCATCAATTTCCAGCGACGGCCGTCGAAGACTCGTTCCAAAACCGGCTACGGATTTCATATTATCGGCACCCACTTTCGACCGGGTCTCCGGGATACTCGGCACCGTAAAGGGCGCCGCTCGTAGTCCCACTTTGCGCGACCAAAATTCCCAGTAAGACGCGAGAGAGGACGTACACAAAGCGCAGCGGAGGGAAAGTAAAGGAAGCGGCGAAGGTGGCGGAGGTTGGACGGTCGGTGTTTCGCGGGGCGAGAGAGGGAGGAATTCGTAATATAGAGGGCCGCTCTACGACTCCGC